TAGTAGGCGGATTATTATTGACGATACGGAGAGCGAATTCTCGAGAGATGGGAAAGAAGGGAGGCGGAGCCACTGACACCCCGAACATAAAGTCTCACTCAGTCTCCAGCGACTAAGCCCCCGTAGTCGGGGTTTCTCAATGAAATGGAGCATGAAGCAATGAATCGATAAATCAACCAACCGCTTACCGGTATCCTCTGCTTCAGTCGGCCCCTCTGTTTCTCTATAGATGACATTTCCCTCCGACAGAATTCACCATGCTCTCTCTCAACGAATCAAAAGGCGCGGACACCCCATAGTAAACTTCGGCCGCGAAGGATAATCTTCATGATGGGAGACGTTTGTGAGCCGGAGAAAAATTGCTGGGTCCCGAGGCTCGAAGTACAAGCTCCGAAAACATTGAGAGAAATCAAGAAAGAAGCCGATCGCGAGAAGCACATTGCACAACTCCAACCGGATCTCGGAAGCGATAGGAGACCCAGCCACCTTCGACGGCGGAGCCTGCCCCAGACAGGACTTGCGTACGGCGGAGCCTGCCCCAGACAGAGACCAGGCGTCACCAAGAAGAACAGGGTCACCTACTATCTCACCAAAGAAGACTTCCATTCCATGGAATGGCCACGATCAACGATCCCCTTCGCCCTAGAGACTGCTCAGCGGAAATGGACCTCTGGAGTCCGCGGTTGAAAATCCGAAACATCAAGATGGATGTGCTACATCAACTTTCAATGTTTCCACAACCCGATCAGAAACAAACGTATCCTCAAAACCTCGCCATGTACTCGACTTCTTTGGATTCAAATCGTAGTGGCTCATATTTGTCTCTCCGCAAGTTAATCTTAACGAAGCCACGATGACAATGTATACATGTCAATAATCATTCTAATAGTTGCATCCTCGATATGGGGTCTAGCGAGAGCGAACTCTTCGCGGACGTCTCAGTATTGCTCATTATTTCTATGGTTGGGAGAATCGCAATCAGAGTATTCGTCGCCGCAGGCCGCGGCTGTGTTCCCGATTGCATGTTCGATACTTGCTGTTCATTTGGTTTGGTTTCCCCGGCAGCCCCCGTTGATTCGAGAAATACCCTCACCACGTACCAAAATCACTGATGCTCCTGCCGAGGCATCAGAGCGACCGATTCTCTGCTGAATCGAAACGTGGAAACGCGTCCGCACGAATTTAGATTGATGCCCACAAGGGGTTGTTCCGTTCGCTGAGGTCACCGAATTCCTGTGACGGCTCACTCACCTCAGTGATTCCTGTGGAGGACCTCGCCGCTTCTACGAGATTTGTTCCGGAGAAATCCTCGCTATAATTTGGGTGGTCACTTGGAGAAGAATATCTCTTCCCACACGCGAATGCGCGCTCCTAATGCAGAGACTGGCCGGATCCAAGAGGAAGGTGGAGGAATGATCACGACGCGTTACGACGCATCGCCTAGATCGGAGAGAAAATAGAAGCCTCGGCTGGCATAATCATGTAAACCAGATCACGAGACCGAACTCTGGTGCGGATATTGATCACCTGTACTCAAATACTACGGTGGAAAAAGTGGAGCTCGCAGACCTCATGCTGAGCGACCACTTGGCGGTGCTGAGCAGAGTTGGAATCAATACAGAAGCTCCGACGGTGGAAATCCTCCGAAGGATCGAAGTTGACCGACTCAGAAGCATGCTACAGAGGGAGGATTGGGAGGAGATAATGAAAGGATCATCACCCCGTGAGTCCTACAATGACTTTCAAGAATGCTTGCAGCAACGCATCCGGCAGTCAACAGTTATCACAGGCAAGCATAGAAGAAACCCACCATCATTACCGTATCTGACCCCAGATATTCTCGAGTTCATGTGCAGAAGGGACGAATTTTTGAAGAAACTACGGAAACAGAACAGAAGAGGAGGTGGTTCGACCGCGGAAAACTTCTTGAGGAGCAGATACAACGTTCTAAGAAATAGATGTGTCAGACTGCTGAGGAGCGCTCAAAGGAGGCATGCTGATGATAGGCTGAGAAGAGCAGCGGAGACGGGTCAGAGTCCTTGGAAGATCCTGAATCCTGAAGAGACTAAATCAGAAGGACAAGGTTTCGCTTCCGGACACACTGGTCGGGTGCCTATACATTTGCGCGAAAGTCAACTTAAGCGCAGCGTCGATTTGAGCGCAGGTACAACTAGCGCGCACCTCCAATTTGAGCGCAGCTTCGATCAGCGCGCACCTCCAATTTGAGCGCAGCTCCAATTAGCGCATACCTCCGAATTGAGCGCGGTACCGATATGAGCGCAGATACGATTTGCGCGCACCGCTGATTTGGCGGATAGATGATTCGTGGAGACTTTCGGAGGATAAAGTCAAGAATTAGATGTGAACGCGGGCAGTATTTAGGAGAAGAACAAAACATTAATCATGTGAACTTCACACTCCATTCGACTGAACGTCAATTAATTCATTTAGGAAAGTTCCGATGATCTGAGTCAGACTATCACAGACTATCGCACAAGCTTTCCTTCTGTCAGGACTAAGACTATTTCAGGACTAAAAGACACATCGATCCTCACAATTTTATATTGTGTGCTATGGCCTTCAAATATTCCAACCTCGGACGATTGGTGTAGGATTCGACGACCTCTGCCAGCCGTTTCGTTCGATCTCGATTAAACTTCCTCGGTTTGCTGGTACGTCCTTGAGCAAGAGAATTCGTTACCGTGAATTCTGTTTTAGCTTGCTCCACTCTCAGGCATTTCAAAAGCTTAGGCAGGGTTGGGTGCTGGGCGCCTAAACTCAGAAAAATTACCTAAAAGAACTTAATAAAGTCAGATCCACCCGCCACGGTATCTCCAACGTTATTGAGTCTGTTGTCACCATCGCGGTTGGCGGGCAGGTAACTCCCGTTTTTCGCAAGATCATGAGTGCTCATGTCTAGTCTATAGCCGGGAGGTAGCGCAAGATAACAGTTGGTATCACCGTTCAATATGTGATTAGTGTGTCCGAGCTATTCCGAATAAATTAAGTGACGCTCCGTCTTTTTGCTGGCCTTCACATCTAAACCATTTCTCCCCGAAACTCTCAACGAATCATCTATCCGCCAAACCGCGGTGCGCGCAAATCGTATCTGCGCTCATATCGGTACCGCGCTCAATTCGGAGGTACGCGCTAATCGGAGCTGCGCTCAAATTGGAGGTGCGCGCCGATCGAAGCTGCGCTCAAATTGGAGGTGCGCGCTAGTTGTACCTGCGCTCAAATCGACGCTGCGCGCAAATTGACTTGCGCGCAAGTGTATAGGCACCCACTGGTCGTGGGAGACGAGGCCGCGGTGGGAGCCGATAGAGCGTCGGCCCTGAATCAGAATTTCACATCGTGTGCGAATTACTATCCCAATGTGATGCCGAACGATAAAGAATCAGTCGAACTCATAACGGGACATCCGAGGGACAGCTTTGGATTCCAGAGAGTGAGCAGAGAGGCTTTCCACAAGATCATCAATCGCATTGGTAACCCGGCAGCGGGTCACGATGGAATTTCCGCGTACACGATCAAAAGTGTTGCGAGAGAGATTCTGCCAGCCCTGAGCCACTTAATGAACTCTATAATCGAGACGACTGTCTACTCTGATTCCTTGAAGGTGGCAAGAGTGGTACCAATACAGAAGGTTCGGTCACCAAGGACTCCCAACGACTTTCGTCCTATCTCAGTATTACCGCTCATCAACAAAATTTTCGAGCGTGCCCTGATCTCACAACTAGCCGACTTCCTTGAGACCAACAAACTCATTCACGAAAACCAGTTTGGCTACAGAAGGAAGAGAAGCACCGTGCATGCTGTCGTCGAGACAGTCGAACAAATCAGAAACAGTCTTGATAGCGGAAAAGTTTGTGGAGTTCTTCTGATCGACATGAGCAAAGCTTTTGATTCTGTGAAAAAAGAGATTCTACTGTCCAAATTGAGCTCTTATGGCGAAGCTCGGAAACTTCTGAACTCCTACCTCACGAACCGGAGACAATACATAGAACTGGAGGACACTCGGACTCCCCTCTTGGCTGTCGAACTAGGATTGCCTCAAGGAAGTATTTTTGGGCCGAACGGCTTTCTCGTCATGATCAATGACTTGCCGCGAGTGTGCTCTGGTGTAGTTGATATATACGCTGACGAAACGAAAGTAATTCATGAAGCCGGTTCCCACTTAGAGCTGGAACAGAAGATGCAGAACGATGTCGAAGCGATTGGCCGATGGTGTTCAGTGAACCACCTCAGACTCAACCCACTCAAAATGCAGTACAGTAGAACCTCGTTATAACGGACTCCAAGGGACCAGCCGAAAGTGTCCTCTATAACCGGAGTCCCTTATATCCGACCAAGGATTTTGGGTAGCCTATGAGCCCTCTCACTCTCAGAGTTCTCAATGGGTTTGATCATCGCTCTCCGCCGATGATGGACGTAGTGAGTTTCGTGGACTCGAATACAAGAACGCGCCCCCCCCCCCCCCCGAAGTGTACAGAAAGGTCTCACACTTTATTGTTGAAGAAAGCGCGAATACTCGCTTGTCGGGTGTGATTGCTCCTATACTCGACTAATTTCTCAATGTCCAAAAGTTTTTGCTGTGATATTTCACTGTCTCCCAACTATAAAGGTATCGTTGCAGCGTCTCATCAAGGACTGAAATTTTCGTATCGATGCTGAGCGCTTTCCGTTTTACTTTATCAGACACCCTGAGAACTTATCCAACTCGAATCGGCAGATTCTGTTCGACTTTGTGAACAGATTCCGCGTTCCGCTTGTGATTATGAGCCAGCCGAACCGTGCGCTCGCGAATCATGTGCATTTGTTATGATAGGAACGATTCGAGCACTGAAAGACTGCAACGGCTCTCACACTCGAATACCGGAGGATCGGTCCCTTGTAAGCGGACTAAATATAAGGAGCACTATAGGATGCGGACTCCGGGAAAAGGCCGCTGTAACCGGAAGTCCGTTATATCCGAGTCCGCTCTATCCGGCTCTCTCAACATGGTAAACTATAGGGACCAATATTCGTTTCTCAATATCTCGTTGGATGGTAAAAGTATAGGCAAGGTTGCAAGGACCAAGTTTCTTGGCTGTATGTTGGATGATAGACTACAAGTAACAGCGCACACGGAGGAACTGCGAAACAAACTCTCAAGAGCGACGTTTCTGTGTAAGAATGTTGTAGAATCCGCCGGGCCTGGCATAGCCAAACTTGTATATAATGCCTACTTCCACTCGCATCTCAACTACTGTGCAGAATTCTGGTGTATGACCACGAAGACGCACTTCAAGAAACTCTACGTGCAACAGAGTCGAGCGATACTTGTTGTTACCAATGCAGCCACGACGAATGAAGCCTTCTCAAGCTTGAAGGTCCTGCCGTTAGCGGAAGCCCTGACTTACGGTGTGTGTAAATTCCCCCATGAGCGGATCACGAACCAGGGACCAGAGGTCCTGAAACTGAGCTCGCTTGGTACTAACAGGAGCACCAGAGCGGGAGGAACGAGACTCATACAAATTGAGAGAAGAAACACACATATCGGCAGCGAATCCTATTACGCGAGAATCGCGAACATCTGGAACTCCTTACCCCAGGGGATAAGACTGATTGACTCCGAGGTGCAATTCAAAAAGAAGCTATTACTCCTAGCCAATGATGTTAGTGGCAGACGGAAATTCTTCTGATAAAATCCCAGTAGCATTACGGAGAGCCCCCGAGGACCAAAGGGGGACCGTATCCCGCAAGGGATACGGTTCGGGTGTCCCCCGATTCCAAAGAAAGTCGATGTGCAAATTATCTAACAAATCATAATAAAACAGTCACGTTCATCGAAAAAAATCCCCGGGGTGCCCGAGTCAGGGACTCAGGCGGTTTGTGGGCGTAGAACTACGTGAACACGGAACACGTAGTTCCGTGAGTTCGAAGATCGGCGAAAGATTTTCGATACCACCCTCCGGTCGACGAAGGGTATCACGAGATTTCCTCCAGCCGTTGTTCAAAAGACGCTTTTTTAGTTGAGGAAAACGAGATCAAAGAACTCAACTGCGGGAACGGGATTCGGTCGGTAGCAACCTTCGAAGACATCAGCTTTTCTAAACTCAGAAATGTTGACGAATGACATCAAAATCTACTTATTACTCAACCGACAAACTTCAATCGGATATACGGTCCGATATCTGCACCGAGTGCGGCGTCGTTTTCCGCTTGACAACCCGCAATTCGGACGGCAACCGGTTCATGACCGAGTGCCACGCTTCCTCGTGGAGGATATAAGGATTAAAGAACATCGCGACTATGCGTATGGAAGGTACATTAGATTCCATGACCATGTCCGCCTAGGAGAAACGCTGCTACATGATCTGCTCTCTCGATGAGATCTCATATTGCCGATCCCAAGGAACAATCATTGCATGTCCGATGGAGGATTTTTCGAGTATCGCGAGGCCGCGCATCCGCATCTAGACGATGATGGGGATGAATTAGTTGAAGACGAATAAAATGAGGTTCTAATGGAATGTCGAAACCTTAGAATGATCATGATTCGGCATTGTAAGGATGGCTTCCCTTATCCTCCTTTTCGAGACCATCACTGGGCGGCGGCACTCGAAAAAGAGAGCTCTTCATTCTGGAATGATTTGTCCCAACGCGATAGACACACGTTCATTCATTCAAAATGCTGCGAAAGGACGACAGCACCGTCTAAAAAGTTTATCGTTGGGTGAACCACTCCCTCCCAATCGTCCGCTAAGCCGAACGGCCCGCCGTGGCTAGATTCTCGAAGCACCACGTTGCGTCCTGCCTGACAGGTGATTTCCTGAGGACCACTTCGGTTGAACTGAACTACGACTTCCCGCCCTTGTTTGCTACGGGAATCTGCTTCTTATCGCTTGTCTGAACACTGTTCGTTTTCTTATGTCGGGATTATGGCTGACGATGTATTAGGCGCAACTCGTTCTTTTTTCTTCACGGAGTCCGGCATCCTTAGCTTGCTAGTCAGAAGGTTCTCCGCCGGTGTCCTTCCACGACCATCGACATCGACCAATGAGGGAA